GAGAGGGAGGGATAGAGGGATGAGGGGAGGGTCTGAGGGTGAAAAAAAAAAAAAAAGAAAAAGAAAAAAGCTGCGCGGAGAAAGAGAGTGAGTGAGAGAGACACAGGCAGAGAGACAGGATAAGAGAAACAGGCAGAGGGGAGTCGATTAAAAAAAATTATTAAATCAAATAATAATTTAAAAAAAAATTCAAATCAAATAAAATAATCAATGAAGGAGAGAATCCGTCCAGAGTAGCGGTGGTGAATTTTCCGCTCGTAATAATTCATGAAAGAAAAGGAAAGAGACTAATGACGGATACTATGGAGGTACTTCCAGGAGACACCTATCCGTTGGGCAGTAGCAAGTATCATGATTGTACCTATGATGGAGCTGTACAACGCTGAGGAAGTAGTCACAGTATTGAGTAGTATGATTGCTGAGTCTTGTATTACTTTTCATTTTCTTTTGTTTCTTTTCTTTTTTTTTCTTTTTTCGTTTTTTTTCCCCTTTCTTTCTTTTATTATTTGGTCTCTCTTGCGTGAAGAACTCCTACGTACGTACATCGACCTATTTTGTTTATTTTGTAATTATTAATTTTCCCATAGGGCATGTCCTTTTTCTATCAAATTTTCTGATATTATTATATATATATTTTTTACCTCTATAATACGACGCTGATATTCATACGATCCCTTTCTCCTGATACATGGGTTTCGAAACAAAGTTGGGTGGCTCAAAAGACTCGTGGCCGCCACTGGGAACGATCGTAAACGCAGTTTTTGTGACCTGAAGGTATGGTATGTAATGGTCACGGAAGTATACTAAAACGCCTTAGTATGGTCCATAGTACGTACGTACCTGGGAGGAAGCACAGAGGGTCAGCTAGTAGTGGTAGTATCAAGTATTGATGTTTCGGTGAGGAGCACCTGATTGGGATGGCGTGGTTGGGTGGAGGAGGATTTGACTTGAACCTTTTAGGGGTTCGGTCCCCCTTTAGTTCTTTCTCTTAGTTGGAATTTTTAGTTTCCTTTAGTCTACGTTAGTCTGGTTGCTGGGAGGGTACACTTCCCTCTGTGGTTCGACACTGAGGAACCCCCGTCCCCCTTGAGGGGGGCGAATATCAACCAACCAGCGCCCCTCATCGGTGGAATTCGAGGCTGATCCTCATTCATCCACCGCCAGTATGATGATCCGTGGGCTGAGGGAAAAAAAAAAAAAAAAGACTCCAAGTTTATTAGTGAAGAAGAACAAACACATAACTAGAACAAATTACTACGGAAGAACTCACATTGGATGAACTATCCACCAGGGAACCCATGATGACTATACCTTCTGTCTGTCCCTTGCAATGATATAATCTGTTTGGTTCGCATGCAACCTCACCTGATGGCATGGGTACCGCTTAATATCAACAATCGTACTACTTGACTTGGTAACAGTTAACTATTTGCTCGACTACATCGCGCTATACTTTTATCACGAGTCGATCGTCTTCAAGCCAAATCGCTAAGCGATGGGCATTCCATGGTCCTCGATATTGGGAACGTCCCGATGTGCCGAGGTGATGGATCATACCGCCACGGGGCACGTACTTTTTTACTTCTGCGTATCTACTCCGTAGGTTATGAGGAATTTCATTCTGGAGGCGAACAGAAAAAGAAAAGAAAAGAAAAGAAAAAGCCTCATGAATCATCAAACGTCTCAGGAGGGATACAAAAAAGAAAAGGTCATGCAATGTCGATCGAGCGAAATGCATTTAATTCTCCATCTCTCGAAACCAGCAGACTATGTATGCACTACATGGATCGCTGGTGGATTCCCAGGAAGGCCTGCCAACTTTCCAGGAGAGCCTATGATATCAAACTATATCCAGAGTCCGAAACTCGGTGCCATCGCCCAACACCAGCTGAAACTCCATCCAACAGAACATGTTCCTCGTTCTTCGGCGAAATTCCTCTTCTGTTATCGTCAGGCAAAAAAGCTTACGTTCCTTTTGACTCACAGGTACCTCGCTAGGTAGGCTTGCCCCGTGAAGTACCCAGTACCGACTGGATACTCGAAGCGGGATAGATCCTTACTCGTGTCCACATGGTGTAAAGGTGTCAACCGCCTAGGGTCTAAGCTTGTTAGTCCAACGTTGAACTTTCCCCTTCGGTCCACGAGTCAAACGGCTTGAGAGCAGGACGATCCATTCCCGTGGGTTCGAGAGTTTTCTGGCGGATCGTGTCCGCGAGCGCCTAACCAAGCAGAAAAGCAAACGCGAAAAAAGAGGAGGAAAAAAGGTGAAACCAGGAAAAGGATGTGCAGGAATGCCGATCCACAACCAACACCAATCGTCATCGGGGGGGGGGGGGGCAGGGTGCATTGAAAGAAAGGCCGAATCAGAATACGTCCGATTGCTTTCGCTGATCGTGATTTTGGAAAAGATTAAAGAGTTGACATCATAATCCAGATACGGGGTATTTACCTGCCATTATTTTTATTAAAAAAAAAACAATGAGGATTTATTTTTCATTTTCTTTTGGGGAACATATCGATTGTAGCATCCTTCACCCATGGAACACAGTCACTGATGACTACGGATGGAGACCTACAGAATCCCCAAACCCCGTTTAAGGCTATACTTGGGATCATTATACTAGTAAGGACTCGATAATCTGTATGCAACATCCTGTAGCTATAGTCAGATCTATAATCCCTATTTGACAAGCTAAAAAAAAATTAAATAAATAAATAAATGGAAAAAAGAAAAAGAAGGAAATCCCCCAAAAGGGGAATAAGTCGACCCAAAAGAATGGATGAAAAAACCCTCAATTCAATAATGATGAATAAATTGTCCGAGGACGATAGATGCGATCAATTTAGACGTCTCGGGGAAGAATCCGAAATTTCCACGTAAGGTTTAATAAAAGTCCAAAAGGTCGAAAGGTTAAGTGAGTTCAAGAATTTCTTTATTTGTGCCAATTCTTGCCCGATTGGGGCAGAGACAAGGGCATCCCCTTACTGGTTCTTCGGAGTCCGCCGTACGGGTGGCTTTGGTGCTTAGGTTAAGTTGGTTTTCTTTGCCGCGATGAGGATTTGACGCCCATGACGGCATGGCACGTCATAGGGGACAAGAACAAAAATGTCCCCTAAATTCTATATTCCGTACACTAATCCACAACAATAATGGATATGATTAAACAGTACCCAACGGGGTATGATTCCTATCAACAACTATATTAACGTTTACTTATTGCATTACATTATCGATTGGATCTGTCCGGTGTGTTATGTAGGACCTCGGTGGGTACATTCGTATAGTATGAGTATACTGTGTACTGAGTACATACAGTACATACATACAATACCATTTTTTTACGGGTTGTCCAAAAGTACTGCCCCATTTCCAGTTATTTATTCTCGGCTCCGACTATTTATGGGACTACAGAAGTATATATGGAGGGTCTTTTAAGGGAGTACACGTAGTGATGGAGATTACCTATCTCGAGACTGATAACCTGGCGAGGAAATTGTCGCCACGATCATTGCCTCTATCACTAATTCATCGTTGACGTTCTTCCAAAATTAGGTCGTCCGGTCAATAACTCGCCCGATTAAGATTAATACGATTAACAACTAAACAACCACACCACAAATACTAACAGACTATAAGATAGTTCCTTAATTATGTACCACTATAACAACATCCCAGGATACGAACCAAACCCAAGATCCGACCGCTGAAAAATAAAATAAAAAGATAAAACCCACGATCTTGGAAGTTTAATTGCCGCAAGGCGCAAAAAGGCTTCATGTATCGAAGTTCCCCCCAGTTGACAAGCATCACCGCATACCGTCGGACGGCGGCGATCAGACCAAAGAGCTTTAAGTAGAATAAGAAAGACGGAAAGCAATTGGTCTGAATATTCCCTTCTCCCACATCTTCATGATACACTTCCCCGATCCTACGTACTCAGCCCTCTTCAGAAGAGAAAATAGAAAAGGTAAATAGTATGAACCAACATGAGGCTAAATGTTCATCCAGCCGAATCACGGGTCAGCGTGGAACCAGTGGCAAGTGTTCCTTGAGCGCCTCCTTCCCCCCGCATCCGACGTGAACTGAGCTCGCATGCGTCCACTTTTGACTTGAACTTTGCCGTGGGGGGGCGTCGCGCGCGGATGTGTGTGTGTATGTGTGTCTCTGCGAGTGAGTGTGCTTGTGACCCTCTCTTTTTTTTTTTTTTTTTTTTCCCATTCATCGCTCCAGAATGACAGTTGTCCATTTGACAGCGACAGCAACGGCGGGTTTCTGGTAGCGGAATTCTAATGTCATCCTTCCACGTATGTACATACTTGTGTACATCTAGACTACAATCAAGGAAAAAAGAAAAAAAAACAGCGAACATCATGCTGCTACTATTACTGATTTAGAAAAAGAATAAGAGATCAATGCCTAAGCGCTTTTTGACCTAACCGCTCAAAACGCGAGTATCTGGCTACCCTCACCTTGTATTTTCTTTTCTTTTCTCTCTATCCGCTATCAATCAAGTTCGTTCACCTTGATGGTCAGCATCGTCAGTCCTCCTACTGTCATCGACATGGAACCCCCATCTATTCTATTACATTGATGTCTACTAGTAATCGGTTGACCATACGGTATTGCACATAACGATCGAATACAGTAAAATAACAAGAAGTAAAAAGGTACCGCGCAGTTCCTCCTCCGCGTGACCGACTCCACTGATCTTACGGGAAAATCAGTCAATCAATCAATCAACCCTTCAATCATTCCCGCCACTATGGTTGCGGCCAGAAAGCAACAAGAGAGGCGAAATCAACTTATGAGGATACTCCATAACAAAGAAAAGAAAAAAAAAAAAGGAAATCAAAAATCAAAATAGACCAGATGAGGCTTATTGTCTGATACTAACGACGACATAGAGCCATTGTTACCTTCCTTTTCCTTCTGCCTCGCCCCCCCCCCCCACCGCTTTGCATTTCTACCTAACATAACCTAACCGATGTCAGTTCCAAGTCTTATCATAGGGTCATTTTTAATTTCCGCAGTTCATCCATGGATTCTTTCCTCCATCCCTGACCGAATGACGATGCTAAACGGAACTGTCGATCAGCAAGCAGCGTCCAACGCTGATTTGGCCATTTCCACCATTCCCATTCATGACCCTCATTTCTTTCCTCCACCCCCCAAATTATTCCTTCTCTGCCGTGCTGCTGGGAAGTTTAATATCAGATGTGCTTGTGCTTTGCAAAACTACCATTTGATCACTTGATCGATTTCTCTTCACCGAGTCATCTAACTCTGATCTTGAATTTATCTCGAATTATGAATGACCATGACTCTCTCTCTCTCTCTCTCTCTCTCTCTCTACCTCTACTTAGTACCCAACCAAACCACCCACAACCCTATCACTCCATAGTCTCAACCTTCCCAACATATAAAATAACTCATTAAAAACATCAATGATCAATTATCAAAAAGAAAGAGAGAAAAGAAAAGAAAGAACAAGATAAACGCTCCGGCACTAGTGGCATGTGGCTTCAAGCCATACCCATCGATTTGAACCCAAGAACCCGAACTAGGGGAAACCTTGGCACGGCATTTTAATCCCCCCCCTTTTTTTTTTTTTTTCTCTTCCCCTTCCATTTTTCCATTCCCTGATTTTCCCACCTTAAAATGGGTTTCTCCGGAGAACTGGGACGGTGACGGAGGTTTTTATTTTATTTTTTTTTATTTTTTTTTATTTTTTATTTTTTTTGTTTGTTGACTAGGGCTTTAAATTTTTACGGATCGTAGGGTTGGTTTTAAGTGGGGACTCTGGGGAAATCGATAGGTTGGTTTCGGCGTGACTAGTGGTCACTACATACTTACTACTACTCTTATGTACTCTCCCCTGTAGGTAGTAAGTACGTAGGTAGGTACATATGTACATACTTAGTGAGGTAATTGTGTGTGGTGTGTGATGTACTGTATGTCCCCTTGGGATGATGAATGGTCAAAGAAAGGTCTTGTTGTTGTCCTGCCTATACAGCGAAGATGCCCGTTCGGAATTCAAGATGGGGGTTATTTTGGGTTCGGCCGAGTGCATTGACAGACCGTCAAGTAGGGGAGGGAAGCCTAGAGAGGTATGTACATACTACATACTGCCCAGGTAGGGTGGTCGTTCATACATGCCTAAAGGGTTTTACCACTTACTTCATAACCCGTTCAAATCCCGTACTTTTACCCGGTTGAATGACTGCGACTCTGCAGCATTAACCCTTGCCCCGGAACACCAGTGTGCTTCCGATATGCAGAAGGGATGGGTATGTATGTCCGATCATCGATCCCGGTTGTTGGGACGGCCTCGTGTGTTCTGAATACATCATCCTACTGCCTTCACAGGAGGGGAATTCGTCTACCTTGCTTGAATACTAGTAAAGTTTGTCCGACAAGAGACCTGGTGATCAAAGAGAACCCGTTTGACCGGTCTACGTGAGCAAGGTAACGGGAGTCTTGTCTCCCTTGATCCTAGACCAGGTGGCCTAAGCTACCCCCAAATGTAACAGGAAGAATGCAAAAAAAGAAAAAAGACAAAAAAAAGTATACATTGGACCAATACTAGCAAGGCAATGATCATGGCATCGTTACTTCCGATAGAACCAATCCTTACGTTGGCTACGCTGGCCAACTCCATCAACGCCGGGCCATATAACTCAGACCAAACGCCAAAACATAACCAATCGTAAGAATGCTCCCAAAGAATTTATACAACGCAACACACGGAAAAATGACTCCCATCCAGTGGCCAAATTTAGGCAGCACTGGGATGAGATGCGCTCAGTTTCCACTGGTACAAGGCTCGCAGGACAGCTACACCTCCAGATTGCGTCTCCACAGTCCTCCCGCGGCCTCGGTCGTTATAGTCCGTCTGATGCAGCCCAAGAGCAATTGCATCACCAGTGGAACGTGTCTGCCCAGGTGCATATGCGGGGTATACTGGTCTCTCCACTCCAAATCTGAAATCTCCGGATGAACGGGATGTCCCATGAAGTGGCTGAGAGCCTTGTTCGTGGTCGCCATAGTTCCGATAGTCAACCGCATCCGGGGGTAGAGGGCTTTCGTAGGTGACAGCGTGATCAGTTTCACCGTATCGTCTGCCCCACCACATGCCAAACTTGCCGTCCTTGTCTCGAGTCATCAGAGCGGCCTCGGCATTGTGCTCGATCCAAGGCCGATATTTGCGGCACTGTGCTTGATGCCAATCATGGATGTACTCCCAGTCGCTGCCTGGTTCCGTCGTCTGGTTTGCACTCGCCAGGAAGCGTTCCTCTTGCGGGCGGATGGGACGACAGAATTCTGCTAGATGATTGAAGAAGATACCTTTGAATGTTTGTCCATCTTGAGAACAGCTGCCCCCAGAGTCGCATGCCTCCTCCAAAACGCCTCCACGGCCGAGGCCGGCCCATTTCTTACTTTTCTTGTTGTGCCACCCTGTAGCATCTATAACGTTGCGGACAAGTTCATGCCCATCGTATAAGTACTGCCACGAAGCAGTGGCCAGCCAGAGGCCCCTCAGCCCGCTGAGGATCACTCCTTGATTATACGTGTATACCATCTTATTCAGGATGTCACACTTGCGGGTGCCGGGCTCTTCAGCGCTCTTCCACCCGCTGATATGGAAACCATCCCCATAAAGTCCCCCGATCCCCGTCATATGCGAGGCGTTGAGCCATTTGTACCCCTCGATCGCAGCCTGCAGATGAGCGGGGTGGTGAGGATAACCATCCGACCATATCTGATCGTCAACACTGTTTGGTACGAAAGGTGAGTCAATCACATCACCTGGGAAATAGAGATACATCCCAATGCTAGCCGATATATACAGCTCGTTCGTTATGGCGTTCTTATAAGGCGTTAAACGCGGGTTCCAAATCATTCCTCCTTCGCAGAGGGAGATATCCCACCCACCGGACGCAAGTCCATAGAAGAGCCTCGCTCTATGAGCAGCCGGGGTACGGAACTGAGCCCCATGCCAGTAGTGTTTCCTGGTTAGGTTGGACCCCGAAGGCCCGTCAAAGTGCAAGTCTGAGTGCAATACCTGCAGCTTGAGGTTCTCTAACCAACCCAGCACAACCCACAGCATATCGTCATAGGCCTGGTTTCTCACTGCAAAGGCATCTTCACCAAAATAGAACGCTACGGTCTGGTCAAAGAAGTGGTTGATCAGGTTCTCAAAGGATAAAGAGCGATGGTTGACAGCTGAGACATCGGCATCTGACAAAATACTAGACGAAGCATCTTCCGTGGAGGATGACAATGATGCGACTGAGGCCGAGAGATGCGTACCGATCACAGCAGCAGTCCAATCGATACTAGAGGGCCAAGTACCTTGCCATAGCTCAAAGTAACTGTTCTGCATCACATTCAGGGCGTGAAGCAAATCTTGCAGCGTGCGGCCGACAGATTCGCTAGGCTCGGGGGGCGATTCCAAGGGAGGCAGGCTCGATTGCCTTGACGGTGAATCGGCTGGTGCATCAAGCACGAGTGGTGCCTCCGGAGGTGGCCCAAGTATGTCTTGCGACCGCAGCGCCAGCGCATGGGTACGACATAGAAGCATAAATATGCAAATGAGTCTAAGGATATGTGAGAATGCAGCCATGGTTCCTGTATTCTATATATGTCCGGTCTTCTTTGAAACTCCCGGTGCTAAAAAGACCAATTGTAAAGTGGTTAATTTAATGAAGGGAACTTCCAACTGACAGGGGGTCCTCGACTTGAGGAAACCCCCACCAATTAAAGATGCTTTCCAATGCAAGATAAAGAAACCCTTGAACGGGTGGACGAGAACTTCAGATTGTAAAGGAAAGGAGGAGCGCGTCCTGCGATCAATTGAGTGAAGAGAGAAGTATGAAATTTAAACCATGTTCTCCCAGTTGTACGACGAGGGCGCCCTCATCATAGTTGAGGAAGTCGCGGGGGCAGTGCGGGGGTTAAGTTTGCACTTAAAAACTTCGCGGAAGGTCCAGCGGGAACCAAGCCGGCGCTTTTATACCCTAACTGGTCCTTCTCTGGAATGCGTGCCGTCTTTGGAAACCCGGTTAGGGTAAGTAGTACTTCTGATTGTTTCTACTCACACAGTACACGATTAATTGAAATCTTTTCTGGTTCAACTGCCTTCGATAAAGAAAAAAGACTCTCTCAAAACCCTTGTTGTTCCTTCATATGGTGTCACGCGCCCTTGAGAACCAGATCATGAGTCCCTACGCAGTCTTCTGATATCGTCTTCGTATTCCAATTGAAATGCTTAATGAAACAGTAGCTTAACTTTACAGGATCAGCAGACCTTCTAACTCGATATGCTAGTTGCAACTACAACCCAATTCTCAAAAAAAAAAAAAAAAAAAAATGTGTGTCGCGGTTGCGCTAACACAGAAGTATGGAGCTAAAAGCAAGCAAATTAAGACAAAAGCTGCACGGATCATTGCATATCATGCGTTATCACGCGGAATCAACTATTAGTCAACTTTTTGGATATCCTAGTAATGCGAAATCATACTAATTGGAGCTTTTTCTATCCTCAATGTTAGCAAGCGATTGGGTATCTTCCTGAAGTGCGTGGTCGTACCGGATTGCTATTAGATCATGACGCCAGCATGTATCTCTTTGGATAACCATCCCCGTCAGACAACGACCCTATGAAGGCCCCACAAGAGATAATGCTGGCCGGAAGCACATTCACCCTAGTAATCAATGCCTATCGAAGCGGTGCGTAGAAGTCGAAACCAGAACCAACGTCTTCATGATTCTCAACCGTGGCATAACCTTCTCATGAAAAAAAAAAAACCGACGCAGGTGAACTGGGACATGTGGAAAACAGAAAGAGAAACTATGCCGGGGCTATAACACGCCACATATTCCGGAAATAGTAGAAGGGGTCTGCAGAACCAATCTGAATGACATAGCTTACTCCCTCTCATCAGCGCCGGGGCTGCGACTCCTCTCGCGACTCCTGCTGCGGCCCCGTCCACCACGACCACCGCCTCTTTGCCCACCAGCCTTGCCTTTGTTCGAGGGAGGCGGCCGGACGAATGCATAGTCAACTTGAATTGTCTGATCGAGCAACTTGGTCCCGTTCAAGTTCTTGACGGCTTCTGTAGCTTCGGGCAGAGTAGAATATTCGATCAAGGCGTATCCCTGTGGCAATGTACAATCAATATCTCGTCATATCCATTTCGATAACTGCCACAGCAATAAACCGGTGACGAAACCAAACCAAAGCAAAATCCAGGTAAATATCAACCCACCTTCACATAACCCGTCCGGCGATCAAGGTTCAAGTTGAAGTTTTTAATCTCTCCATACTCGGCAAACAGATCGGTCACATCTTCCTCTGAGGCTTCTTCGTGGATGTTGGTGGCGATCACAATCCATCCTTCGATACTGCGCACTGCAACGGCCCCGGCCTGGGTTCGTGGCTCGAAGCCGCCGCCAGATTGCGCCGGGGCTTCCTCCTGCTCATGCGAAACTGGCGGGTCTACTTCCATTTCTCCGGACATGGTGGCGTTAGAGGGAATGAGGATTGATAAAGGTTTATATATCGAAAAGGCTGCCACGAGAAAAGAAACACAAAGCGAGTTCCGGCTCGACGAAATCGTTCACAGTGTCTGGGGGTCGCGAGATGCTTGGGAGCAATCATTCATTGTCGGAGGTTAGCTCGCGGTGTGCTTATGTAAGCGCGCGTTATCAGCCCTGGTCGATGGGAACTATGGCTAGAACACAACAGCAATATGCTTCTATAACCTATGGTCAGTAAAGAAGAATACTCAATTCTCTCGGAAATAAAGAATGTTATAGGCTAAATAGAAACCTAAGTGGGCGATAAGGAACGCGCTTGACCTGGCCAGAGACCCCCTATATGGGTTCTAAGCAAAATGTACCATGTAGCACATTCTCAATATCCATTGTATGTAGGATAAACAAAGATTCAAACAGTATACAACCACATTGTGAGACACTATAACTGCGTATTTGCTGTGTTAGATAGAATAAATAAAGCAGCGGCTAGATTTAGGAGAATAAAGCCCTCCAGAACATTGCTAGCAGGAAGCCGTACAATAGCACGCTTGGCCTTGGTAGCTCAGAATACTCAGTAAAAATCAGTTGAATATCAAATGCTTTAGTAGTACCATCATAAATACTAATGTGTGTAGCTTTTGTTCTTCAGGCAAAGTCAATACAGCCCTTGGTTACTGAATAAAACATACTAGTACTTGGTAAAAACGGCAAATGAAGATGAATAGAGTGCATTGTTGCGAAGGCTCTAGTCCTCATTCACTAGAGGCCAACGGTGTCGTCCTATATCCAGTCTCTTGTAAGCAATGAATTGGTGAATAAAAGCTCGCTACCCTTCACTTGACCTATTTTGTGTTCCTACTCTAGTAACCCCATCACAGAATGCGCTGTTTTACAAAGATCATCTTCATGGCAGTATCTTCTTGTGCAAGAGAAAAGACACTCTGTTGAGGTCATCATAGTCCTAAACCGAAAATGCGCTGGTAAGGTTTGAATCATTGTCAGTCAAGATGTCCAAGCTCTGATAAGCTCTCTTTTGCACGTCTAGTGACGATCCAAAATGTGGCTGTCAGCCTTACCCCAGGAAGAACAGAAAGGTTGAGATAGTCTTATATGGTGACCAGCCTGGCCAATTTCGTCTACTCAATCAGCAAGGCTCTAGTATCGATGTGATCTTTGACCCAATCGGAAACGCCATGATCTTGCGCGAGATAATCAATGACCCCGCGAGGAAGTATACGTTTTGGAATTTTAGTGTGCAACTCGATGCTGCAAACTTGCATTTCATGAATCTAGAAGGGCTCATCGATGGCTCTCTGATAGTCACTGTTCGGATAAGAAGCTCAGCTTGTGCCTTGAAAGGTAGCATGATATCGGTGAAGGAGAAGATTTCTGGATTCGCGCCTCCTTATCTCGAAAGTAAATTGTACAACGTCCTTTATTTGTGCGACTGGTCGCGGCAAACCCTTCAGTTATTCCTCCCGGAAGAGAGGCTGGTTGAATGGAAAACAGTGGCATTGATTCTCAAATCCTTCGGAAGAATCACGGCAGACCAGTGGTCTGATATGGTGTGGATGAAGGATAGGCCATCTGTTGCGGGTCTGAATTGGAGGGCCATTGAGAAGGATATCAAGATTTACAAGTACAGATTGGCCGAGCTGAAAGCTAAGGGGAAGCAGACATGCGCTATCGGTAAAGAAAACGATATCACCTTATTGCAACAGGACTCTGCTATTGCCGGACATATTTAGATATGGCGTCTCACAAGTTAAATCATTGTCTCGAGCCGTCTATGCATGTGTCCTAGAAACCAATCCATATGACTTCTGGCCTAGGGCTACTAAGTATGTACATTAGGCTTACGGACAGAATTGTCACGAGATAACCATCCACAAAACCGATGGATCGAAGAGCATCGGGAAATCGTCATAACTCTTTAGAGTCGTTGTAAGATATTTGCTTCACAATTTTCTTGCTTTTGAATGAAAATTCAAAGGCGGACCATATATTGTGTGCAACACCCTCCCCTGCATATTGCAGACAACCGTCTACAACTTCCTTCCCACCTCATCCCCCCCCCCCAATCATCTGTTGCGAAATGATATTTGCGCAGAAATTAACACACTGGCTCTGCTATGCTTCAGCCCTCAATCTGCTCTCACCAGGTATCGCAGCAGACACAAGAGCCTGGAAGTCACGATCCATCTGCCAGGTCATGACAGACCGCTTTGCGCGCATAGATGGATCTACGACTCATGCCTGTAATATCAACTTTACTATGTTTACCCCTTTTGAAAGATCCGAAGTACTTCAACTCAGACTGCAAGATTACAGACTATAATGACTATCCTCTTGCTTAGAAGTGCTGAGCGGGAGATGACATTATTTCTCTCCCAGATTTGAAAACAGAGGATAAGATAGTCTAGACTATGTTGGAGAAGTGGATCAAGGAGACGACGACGACATACTCAATCGACGCAGCAAAACATGTAACTCCAGAATTCCTACCACTATTCCAAAAAGCGACAGGAGAAGCATTCGACAAGTCTGTGGAGAGAATCTGCGGCTACCAGGACCATTTAACAAACGTTCCCAACTATCCCACCTACTTCTCCATGCTGTATGCCTTTACAAGAGGGAATACCAGCTCCCTACCGGATCAAGTGGAAATCATGATGCACAATTGTCGTGATGTGACAACATTGACTACATCCTCGGAGAATCATGATATTGCTCGATTTGTTAGCTTCAAAAAAGACATGAATTTAAGTCTCTGCAAAATACATTCAAACTATCACCCCCACACTCTGAAATGGACCAACCACGCCTTAGCTCACCAAAAATGTCGTTGCCTTCACAATCCTCTTTGATGGCATCCCAATGGTATACCAAGGCCAAGAGCAACACTTCTCCGGTGCTATCGATACAGGGAACCAACAGCGGTGCCTACGCCACCAGGATAGTGAACGGGTAACAACCATTGTCTATCGTCATTGGTGTCTTGACCTACAACAAGTACAAAGTCAATAATATGGGTGAGCTTAAGCTTCCTATGGATAAAGGGGAGCCTCAGGTGGTTTCCCCGACTAATCTTATGCATGAGTGGGCTTTGTGGGTATGAGTGGCTAATATGTCTTCGGAGAACTTTAGGAAGCGGCCTACGAATGATTCTGTTTCTGGTGGGATGGCTCGCTGGGGAACTGGGCGGATGATGGGGTCTGTTTTGGTTTCTTTGGCAATGGTATGTGTGGTTGCTTTTGTGCTGTGAGCTGTGGTATGGACAGTAACGACTATATTCTTGTCTAAGACTATTGTTTGGAAGCTTCATTCCAGCTCGGATGTGTACAAGTGTGATTTGCATGTACATGTATTTCGATTCGAGCGAGAAAGTGGCTTCTATATAGAAAGTAAACGACCATGCTATTTCGAGTTGGTGTAGTGGAGGATGAGCTACGTAAAACCTAAGGAACCCTGGGAATTCTCCTTTTCTGTTTCTTTGCAAATAAAAAATTTTATTCTTCAAGTGGAGCGGAGATATTACTTCCAACTCTAGACGTCTGAAATGAGACCCAGATATTTTTGCTGTGACTTTATGCCAACTTGATTATAAAATCAGGTTGCCGACCCTGCGATTCAGCAGGAGTGGCTAAGTATGTCTCACAGAACGAGTTATACATGTGAGGCGGGAGATGAGCAGCCACCAAGCAGCTATCCCATGCGAATATAATACATAAAGAAGTCAACGAATTGCGAAAAAGGCGAGACCGAATTGAATTCACTTTCCTCCAAGATCATCTCCCAGTGTCATGGCTTCTGGTTGTCGAGTGAGATGAAACTGACGTTTCATTTCGTGTCGTTTGTGGCCTTGTCGCCGATCAAGGTTTGACCAGTTTATTTAAGACGTGGCTTGACGCATTAGCTTATTTCCGGTTGTTGCGCTGCATGGCCAAAATCTGGACCATACGGATGAAGATGTTGATGAAGTCAAGCTCAAGGCTGATACTCTCGTTGACGACATCCCTCCGGATAAGGCCCCTCTGGGCCATACGAGAGTGGTGCAGGACCTTCTGCACATCGTAGAGAGTGAAACCACCGAAGACAGCAAGACCTCCATACAGCCAGATCTTCTCAGACCACATCAAAGTGCGGGTGGCGGTAGCGGGGAGGACAAGAGGAGCGAGACCAGAAAGAGCGACGATAGTCACACCGGCGAGCAGGGGAGCACCAAGGTACAGGTACTTGTCCTGCTTAGCAGTAGCACCGACGAAAGCAATAGATCCCATCATTCCAACAGTGTAAAGACCAGCACGAGCAAGTAGAGCGGGGTGCATGAACATCAAGGGCGAGAGGAGGGCCGCCTGAGTGACGTTGAAAGCGGTCCAGAGACCGTACTTAGCCAAGTAGCTGGGTGTCTGTTAGCCGGGTTTCCCGCAACATAGGTCATACAGATAGGAGAAAAATACTTACTTGTCGGGAGAAGTGTAGTAAGTGCCATACATAGTTCCGATGCTTCCAACCAGGCCTAGACCAGCGACAAGCCAAGGGTTCATGGCCATCAAACGGTAAGACCATCCGTTCATGTGCATAGCCCTAGCGGCAATACCGATAATAGCAATACCAAGTCCAGTGTGCATAAAAGTCTCGTTCAGATAACTACGTTCGTAGGGAGCCATGCCTCCATCCTCTCTAGTTTCGCGGTTGAAGATCATGTTGGTCGCCAGGATTGTTCCACCAACGATGGCGGCGCCATACAGCAGTCGCTGAGTGAGATTGCCACCCTGAGCGGCATCGTAGGTAGGTTGCATGTAAGTACGACGGAAGGCATTCTGAAAGGTCTGTCTAGATTTCGCGAAGATGGAGGAGGTGGCCGGACCGAGAGGCTTAGATTGGGATGGCTTAAAAGGTGAGTTGTGGAAGAATCGAGCAGTGTTGGCAGTTTTAGGGACTTGACGAAGCGCCGTTGGAACGGCGAAAGGACGCCGTAAGAAGAACGCCATGGTTAGAATGGGATGACGAAGTTGATGGTTGATGATGGCGGTTTAGCGTCGAAGGAGATGGCAGCTATTTAAAAGCCGCGGGCCGGTGATATCAGCCTTTCGCCCTTTTCCGGATTAGGCGTGTTTGCTCCCGAACCTCTTGCATGTTTGCTCCTCTTCCTGGCGCTACGGCTACCCGAAAGTTCGAGAAGTGCAATCACGTGTGACTCATGGCTTAGTAACGAGGCGTTCGGCGATAACTAGTTTCCATTCTCCGGTACTATCATAGTGGGGGAGGGGGAAAAGAGCTGCAGTTTTGCCGATACGGACATTGCATATCACCGATTTTCTTATTCCCTTGATCACCATTGCAGAGTGTGGAAGTGGAACTACCTTCGTCAATTGACCTGATTCTCAGCATCTACAGCTCCATCGTCGGCTTTTAGAGTGCCAGTGCACATAACTCTCAGCCCACCATGTCCTCAACATTAGAAACCATAAACCTGCCCCATCTCCCTTCTACTATGCCTGTGCATGTAGCTGTCTACCGTGATGTCCAGAATGCTCCTTTTCTCCGGCAGCAGCTCATATCCGGGAACTCGGACTTTGAATATGCGTTCATTGATGCAAGCATGGTATGGCATTGATGTCAAGAAAGCTCGCTAAAGAAACCAAGACCCTGACCACAATATGCAGGTTCTTTCGAGAGCGCACGTTTCGTCCGCAATTTTCAGGGCCGTAAATGACTATCTCAATGAGCGTCTCAAGTCTCGTAATGTCCACTCGGAGGTTGTTTTCTCTTTTAGCCCCACGAACAATGTAGGTTGATTTGTAGCTCATAATTCGATGCCTCAGGAGCTAACAGTTTGCAGATTGCCGACTCCTTCCGGAAATTCGGTATCAGCGATTCTACGAAAGATCTGTTGGTGGTGAAGGTGTCTGTAACGCCGGAAATTACCCATGATTCAGTAGCGGCACACCTGGCGCAATTTGTTGAAGGCTCACCTGTGCCCTTCAATGACGAGACTCTGTCTGAGATCGCGGATATTGCCAAAATAAAGAAGGCCTACAAGTTAGGAGCATTACCTTCTGCTCCTGCGGGTCAAGTAAATGGTGCTGGCAGCAATGATAATATGCGACTCGAAAATTCCATTATCGGTGCAATTGCCCTGCGAGGAGCGACTTGATTGCTTGGTGTTCTCCAAGTTCCCACGTCAACCTGGACTCCATCTAAATGACCTCGAATCGAGCGACTTCCAATACAACAGGCTCCATCTTGCCTGGTTGACTTCTTTCGGTGAGACTCTATGGGCCATAGTACTAAGCGTATGCGGCCAAACTTAGATTAGTGGATGAGTACTCCACCAAAAACACAAGTTCTCAGCTCTCGCTCCTTCAGCACAGGCGCGAATGACGCTATGGCTCTGAACAACATACATGATCAAATATGGTATTATCAGTGGCTGAATGATGTGTCGCCTCGAAACGCCTATTCATGGTATATACTACACGACGCTGAGAACCGATTCCCCAATACTGTGGCTTAGTATTTAACGAACATTATTCAAGAATATACTAAATTCTAAACCATCCTTCAATGGCAGCTCCTAATATCAGCCCCTCGTAGATCAAATACAAACGATTGCAAACATTCGCTGTAAGGAAACAGGGATCACGATCGGTTGCCCTGCCCACTGATAAATAATTCCTAAAGCGGTAATTTAGCAACGTGTGCCAAGACGAACCCGTTCAAATGATTCTCTCTTCAACAATTACTCGACAACTTGACATACACTTCAAATGCCACTGCCGACATAGATCTCTATTGAAAGAGAAAGAGAATACGGAGAATTTGCGCGAGCTTCATAAAGCTTCATATTGGTGGATTATCCGCGACCATGTCAATCGCTTATTCCTTCAACTAATTACCTTGACTCGCCATCATGAACGCCGCAGCGGACGTTATCGTCCTCTCTTCATCCCCAGATCCCATTCCCAACCGTTCTTCAGTACAGCCTGCCCATGATCCCGTGAAGCTGTTCGATTTGTCCCCGCCAAGTGCATCTCCATCTCCGGTACGATCACCATCAGAGTTGTTCCAACTTCCTACACGTTCCAGGTTTTTCGAGCTTGAAACCCCGTCACGGAATAAAGAAAATAAGACACCCAAGGAACCACCAGTCAGAAAGACCAGCGCCACTTCGAATTCAAGAAACGCTTCCTCAGAGGATAGGCCCAAGCGGAAGGGGAGGAAGCCCGCAAGCGAGTCGCAGACGGTACGTGTTGGCCAGGGACCGGGTGGCCTAGCACAAGAGAGCGCGCCGAAGAAAACTACAGGTGCCAGGAAGAAGCGCGCAGATAATCAGGTCAAGTGTGGGAAAACTGCGAACAAAACTATAACAGGGAGGGTCGCGAAGTCTGGCAATGCGCTGGCTAAACCGCACCAAGAGAAGGTTATGGATGTGTCGACTCCGAAGGGTTTGTCGGAAACGAAGTCTGCCAGTGAGGTCGTTGATCTGGGAAGCGATGGACTGCAATTGGAAGCTGCTGTGAAGCGGAGAATGGATTGGACGCCCACTAAGGATACCCTTGCGCAAACGGTAGAGTTGAGTCAAGAGGAGGTTGCAGAAGCCAACTCCAAAAGTTTTGGTAGTCTGCTATCTGAGTACGGTTTCAATGATGTTTCTTCAGCTCGCAGTGATGTCAGGAATTTTGGAGACGATGGTCCAACGAAGCGTAGACGTATAGAGGTATGGCTTGTATTATCCTTGTCGCACGGTGTTTCAGGCTAATACTTATCTTCGAGCAGCTCGTGGATTCTAGGTTATTTGGTCCATCGAAGCAAGCATTGCATGATATCGATGATATAAGCATTAGAAAAGATAGCCAGCAAAAACAGCCAGAGGCCAAACAGAAACCGAAGAAACAGACTAAGAAATTCACGACACTTACGGCTCGTGTGACAGCGAGTTATCTCAATGATTCCCATGAGGGATCGGATTCGTCAAGCAAGGAAACCACTACTTCTCGAGAAAATGCTGCAACTGCAAGAACAAAGGCCTCAAAAAGCAAAGGAAAAGCTACTTCAAAACCTAAGGAGCCTGAATTCATAGTTCTTTCACCCGAAGCAGCTGCAAAGTCGCTAGAAAACCAGGAACCCATATTTGGAACTTGTAGTCAGTTAGAGCGAGAGGATTCTCCGACCTCGCTAAAGGAGCTACAGGCAGCCATCAGTGAGTCGGAGAGGTACGCTGTGGCAGAGCCTTCTCCATTGAGTTCAACACTATACTCAACACCCACATCCCGTTTTACTACTGCAAGAGGCCTATGGTCTGTTGCAGCCAGAGATCTAGAAGGGTCATTGATTCGCCAAACGGAAGTTGTGGAACTGTTGGATACACCTGAGCCTGCTAAGATGACGACCTCGACCACCGATAACCGTAATGAAAAGGCCTTGGAGGATGCAGCTGTTGTCACTCTTAGAGAACCGTTTAATCTTCCCAGGAGCGAGGCACCTAGACTCAAAGCTATTCCAGCTGCGAGAAAAGAGCCATCCCCAGCGCCTGGTTTGCCCACGACAAAAGCTAGTGATAAATCTAGGAAAATCACCTCGCAAGATCCTGAGCCACAACCTGAAATGCCGCATTACAGCGGCTTCACCGATGCCGAATTATCGAAACAGGTCGCCTCGTACGGCTTCAAGCCGATGAAGAACCGAAAGAAGATAATCGAACTTCTCGAAAAATGCTGGGAGTCCAAGCATGGTAAAAGCGTAACCTCAGAAACCCGAGCTAGCACGCAAACCGCATCTACAGAGCCAACTCGCGAACTCGCCTCTTCCGAACCCAAGACATCTCAGAAACAGCCACGCAAACAAATCACTTCACGAAAGACAACCACAAAGTCCAAAATAAACCCCGACTCAAACGCACTTTCAAAACCAAAGTCCAGAAAAACACCATCAAAAAGCAACGCTCTTAAAGCCCCAAACACTCAATTAAAACCAGCCCAAGCACCATCAACACAGTCCTTCATCAACGTCGAAGAAATAGAAGACTCAGAAGAAGAAACCCTACCTTCACCCTCCCGAGTCCTGAACCGATATACACACCAACCTTCAGAAACCAGACAAGTCTTACCCATCTCAGAAACACTATGTAGCCCATCCCGTACCAACAAGTCAACGACTAAGAACAACGCAACCCTCAATCAGGAACAACCCGACTTAGCTGACCAAATCCTCAAGGCCATGCACGCACAACCAGCTGGAACGCCTAGTCGTCCGAGCTGGCACGAGAAGATCCTCATGTACGACCCCATTATCCTAGAGGATTTTGCCACCTGGTTGAACACCGAGGGCCTAGGCCTTATTGGTGAGGATCGGGAAGTCGGTGCTGGTTTCTTGAGAAAATGGTGTGAGGGTCGAGGGATTTGCTGTTGCTATCGATGAACTTTCGTGCGCAGCAATGATCAAAAATATCATACCTTATCATTCACGCGTCTTTTTACGATTTTGTCTTTTTGGAAGCCAATATACTGCATTGGGTACGTTGTTTGGGGCGTATGGCAACTAAGCAGTTCCTTTAATGTGGAGGGTGTATGAGAATTTTCTGGAGTTTGGGGTATCTATTATTGGAAATACCCTTTTTAGATTACATACTTGTTTATGAAACACAATGGCCTACGCAACTAAATATGACCTAGTTTACTGCGTTTTCGGATAGATTTATTTGTAGTTTTGAGATTTCGAACGATACTAGTTTTTTCTTATTCTCAACAGACCAACTAGTAATATACAAATAACCATCGGTCTAAGACCTCAAAACTAATTTGTACAGCAAGAAGCATAGTAGAAGAAATAAGTATAAGCGATGTAAAATGAAAGAAAGATCCAGGAGACCATTAGAACCACCCCCCCCACCCCCCCTTCCCAACCCCCGGCTCTAGATAATGCGAGAGAGACACCACATCACTCTAGTCCAGACTCACTCCTCATATAATTCGGTGTCTTCTGCTGGCTGTTGCAAATTAGAAGAGACCTCCTCAGTCTGCGGGTTTTCATAGACGTAGGATGAGTCAGTTTTAACCTGATGAGCCCCCTGGGCAATGACCTGTGCAGGGGAAGAAGCATAGTAATCCATCTGGTTGCTATGGAGCTGTTGGGTCTGTAACGGCGCAGAATATTGCGAAGCCAAGGATGACATAGGCGGAATCCCTTGGCCCAGTGGAGTATTGAAGAAACTATAGGGCAGGGTGGGAAGTCCGTGAGGCATTCCATCCATCTGGTCGTCGAGGGGTTGAGGAATCTGCTCACAGTAAGAATTGACAGCTGTGTCTTGGTGGAGGTGAGTATCTGGTTGAAGACGGCCAAATTGGGAGTAATTAGTCAGTGAAGCAGGCCCTACACCATTCTGCTGCGGAGGATAGCCAGGAGCCGTTTGTGACGAGCCACTAGCAACAGTGCCTAGGCCAGGGTGATGGTTCGATTGATTGGGGCCCAAGCTCCCAGCTGCCGGAACTTGCGCAGTGCCTTTCCCGCCGTAGTTCCTGCGGTACTCTGTGCCTCCAAGGGTTTGCCAAGAGCCATAGGGGGTAGCTAAGGTCGGCAGAGGGGGAAACTGATTATTTCCCCGAGAATAATTTGCTCGGAAATTGTCTCTTGCAGGAAAGTTGGGGAGACGAGCACTAGGAGGTTTTAGGCCATGTTTTGGCCATGCATCTTTGGTGACCCATGTTTTCCACTGGAAGAAAGAGATTGAAATGTTAGCATGTCGATATGCGATAGGGAGTGGTGCTCGTGCTCACATCATCGAGTTGTTTTTTCAGCTCCTCGATTTCATTCCTGTATTTCTGTTCGCGCCTTTTAAGCCCCTCAAGCTCCTCTTGCAGTGTTTGGATTCTTTCTTCCTGGTCCTTGCTTAATCCACGATAATGAGTGACTTCAGTCGATGCATTCGTTTCGCCGCACCATGAGTTTGTCTTGACACAGTTTGAACATTCCGTGTCCTTATCACTGTTGCATCTCGACTTGAATAGCTATTGTTCAGGGAGTCAGTAGGACAATGATAATAACATGGCGTCTAGATGCCGTCCAACAGTGAGACGGAAGATGAACTGGGTCCTTCTTGAAAGAATGAAATGCAAGTTCGATTGGCGTACTTACTCTGCAGAAATCACAAGCTGTAGGCGCTCTTGTGAGAGGCTCACGCTTTTTGAATTGCTCCTCTGAAGGGACCGGGCCCTTTCGGTATTTTGCTTCCATCGCTTTCTCATGCTTCTCCTTTGCCTCTGCCCATTCGGCCATCATGTTATCTTTTCTTTTGTGGTGATTAGTGAGGTATGCATCTCTCCAATCCTTTTTACCTCTACTTAGCGTAGGTACATGATTCTTCCGGGCTTTCTTCTTTGGTGGCTTCTGCGCAGTTTGTTGAGCTGTAGCATCTTCCGATCCTTGTGTGGCCTCCGACGTAGCCCTTGAGGAATCGGCAGCTCCCAAAGCAGTATTTATAGCGCCATCGCGATCTTCAACTAGAGGTCTGGGGATGGTGGTTGTTGAGATTTCCTCAGGAACAATTGTAGCAGAAGGTATCTCAGCAGTCTCAACCTGCTGCGAGATTATCTGTTCGATTAGTTCAGGGTTCTGGGGGCTAAGCTGTATGTTTTCGAAGAGTAACGCGTCGTCAACAGTATCTCCAGCATTGGGTATCAACAATTCGTTATTGTCGTAGCCTTCAAGGGCAGCCTCGTCAAAACTCCGTTTGTTAGACATTTCAATCGGTGGGCAGTCCCAATTTGAAAAGGTGATAGGACAGCAACTGGGAACTATCGGCACTTGAAAGAGTACGATACCCAGAGCTGGTGGAAGATGCAGCGTAGCTTAAGTACAGATGGCAGGGGGTACTATAGGTAAGAGCAGTACATGTAGTACACAGGATATCACCGTATATTTATGTTGATCTCTGGGGTTTTCGGTTCCCGCCTTTCTCGGTGAAGATCCCATTATCGATGCATTCCAAAGGACATGGACAAACAGTATAAAATGTACACTGTCATATAGGGCGTTCGCTGCGGAGGGCAATATAGTGGGATCAATGACTTTCACGTAGCCGCAAGATTTGAATGACATTGTTCGACATGGGTCACTTGTGTAGGAAGTGGAACGTATGCGCAAGAGTATGTGTCAAAGGCATTGTAGGATGATCTGAAACTGTACATTCCTGTATTTCATCAACGGATGGTCCGGTCTTCCATAGGGTGAAAGGAGCCAATGTTTCTCTTACCGCATTCAATAGTTGGGTCTGTGGCCCTTTGTTGCCGTACAAAGCCGTCTTTCGCAAAGAGAGGAAGAGCCTGGTTGACAAAGCGCAGAACTATCGATCATTGTAATATTATGGAAATCTCCAAGTCCTTAAGTCTTCGGTTGCGTATAGTCGAGCGATGTGGTGCATAAGCGGCGGTTCTATTCGAATACGCAAATATCTCCAATTTTTCCAAGAGAGAGCAGAAGCGAGAGAGAATGAAACGAGAAAATAGCGAAGATGATTCTAAGATACATATAGAAACGTTCCAAGAAAACCAGAGATTGATCAGCTCCCACCATGCAATGTAAAACGAAGCTGATCCTGGAGCAATTTATGCTGCCAAATGCCCTTCCCTTCAGAGTAAAACTCCTGCCATGCCGATATTAACGTCGACAGAAATCGTGGAAAGCATCCCGATCGAGAACAATGACACAAGGGTGGAGGAAACGAAGCGAGACAAGTGCGCCCTGCACCAGCGCAAATCAAGAGACCCGTGACGGTCATCAATCATGATAAGGTGAGAAACTGAAGGCCGTGAAGAAGGAAAACAACTCCTGGGAACAGAACACCGAGGTAGACCAAGTGAATGCGGCATGAGGGAAAAATATAACGAAAGAAAAGTAAATATTAAACAATAAGTTTTCGGATGTGTGAGATGATATAGGAGCCAACTAGTAGTAAAGTGACCCAGGCCGACAAGGCCATCCTATTGCGCAGCAACAAACGATGTGGAGCCCATACTGATGGGCTAGAATTGTGCGGTAGTCATCGAAATACTTTACCATTTTGAGCCACTGTCTCAAAACTGATCTTGTTCTGATATTTCGATTGTCCGCCATCTTCGAGCCAGGGCGTGAGGTTCTTGCACTGGCTGACATCAAACGACTCCAGCTGGTTACAGCCGTCAGCCACTGCCTCTACCCCCGCGCCAGTCACTCGAACGCAGCCACGAACCGATAGTCGCTTCAGGTGCAAAAGATGAAGGCCAATGCTGCGCAGCGAAGGGTCGGAGATTGCAGAACCACAAAAAGACATATTCAAATAAGTCAACTGAGAACACTGAAGAGCAAGGACCTCTGTTGCTGTATCTGATAATGCACAACAAAATGACTGTTCAAAGGTTAGTGGATATTTATATCTCTTTGCGATAAACTCGACGAAAGTTGGAGCCTGACGCCTTACCAGATCCAATTCCTGTAGCTGCTTAGCAGCGTTGGTCAAATAAACAATAGCTTGGTCAGTCAAATAGGTGCAGTCGGCTAAACAAAGCTTCCGCAGATTGGTGAATCGCGCGTTCCCCCAATATTGGAAACCTTGGTCTGTGATAGAGGTGCAGCGTGTCAAGTCCATTTGTTCAATCCTGTGAGCAGCATGGGACGCAATATGGTGCATTGACCGGTCGGTGACGTGTTTACAGTATGAAAGCGTCAATTTCGTCAGCTTGGGGCAACCGAAGACAGCACCAGTCGTGGTTTGCATGGTGGGCTTAAGGACCCCTTTACTCGTCTTCACAGGTTCATCTTTGTGTTGGCCAGGCATGACCCAACCAATAATCCGAGCCAAGAGCGTGTCCCCGACTTTCCGGCAGTTGCTCAAGTCCACCTCTTGCAGTCCATTTGCGGTGCTCGCCATGTCAAGGATGGCGGATGCAGTGACGTCCCACACACTTTTCATCTTCCACGCGGCGACGTTGGAGCCGCATGTGGCAGCCAATTTATTGAATCCCTCATCGGTGATATGAAAGCAATTGCTGATATCAACAGAGCGGGGCCTATTCCCAACGAATGGACATATGATTTTCACTAACACGTCATCGGTAATTTGTCGATTATACATGCTTAGGTCCAGATCATGCAGCAGATCTGTGGATGTATTGATGATCTCTGACCAATGTAGAGAGACTGCCCGTACTCGAAAAAGATGATGAAGTTCTAGATGGTTGAAAATCCTTACCAAGATATTATCAGGAAACACGCCGCGATTCACTTTGTGCGAATCGCGCTGCGTTTTGAGGGTTGTCGACACAGCGGCCTCGGGCAGCGTGAGAAACGACGAGCTTGTCGATCGTGGTTCAGATGGTGGTGACGGCCGTTGCTGTTCCCCGGAGACCTCCTCTGGCGTCAACGGAGCGACGGATCCGCGTCTACTTTTCAATCGGACCTTGTCTAAGCCGACATTGAGAAATGGATCTGGATCCGAGGGACGTAATACGGCCTGGTCGTCTGCCTTGTTGGTATGCGGGCCATCCAGTTCAGTTTCCGTGAGTGTGAGGAGGGGCATCGACCGGCGTCGCGAGGCGCTGACTTTAAAGTTGCTATCTCCAACGAATTGTCCAACACTGTCCGCTTCAGCCATTACGACATCGCCATCAGCTGCCGATTGCAGCCGCTCTTTGGCAGTTTTCTCCACCTGCTCCCGAACATCATGGGGGCACTTCTCCCAAAACTCGGCAAGGACGTCACCGCTAATCATAAGGCACTCAACCGCATTGATAGTACGCACTGTTGCAGTCCTGCGGGGTGCTAGAGAAAGACTTACGACCTCACCAAAGTACTGTCCTGCTTTTAGCCGCGCTTTCACTTCAAAGCCCGGGTGTTCAATGGTGTTCGGCACGGAGTGCGAGGCATCCTCTGAGTGTGTACGTTCCGTCAATACTTCAACTTCGCCACGAACGATAAAGTAGATCTCCCGCCCTTGGGAGTCCTGCTTGATAATGTCGGTGAACGGAGGATACGACCGGGGTTGGGCGTTAAGGCCTAAGAAATGAAGGATGTCCCCTGGTAGACCGGCGAATAGAGGTAATTCTTTGAGTAAAAGACGCACGTTAACAAGTCCGTTGGCGAGTGCGCTCGAAGAAACTCCATCCGCTAACCCAGGGCTGGGAGATTTGCGTTTCTTGTTGACCGACTTCCGGTTCAACGCCGTGCCCTCTTGCTCCGCAAGAGACATGTCCTTAGAGAAAGTTTCTCTCAGCCGTTTATTCCCTCTGCGGGATATAATATCATCCACTGGAGGCGCGGATGTCTCCTTCTTCTTCTTCTCCAAGAGCATCAGCCTTTCTTGGGCTTCATCTCGGATGGCTTGCTCCACATCTGGGAAGTGAGGCAGGATATTTCTAAAGTCTTCCTTCGTTAAGACGATCAGCAGACATCTGGAGCGAGCGATAATGGTGGCGGTCCGCGGACGATCCATCAGCACGCCTATTTCACCAAAGAAAGCGCCTGGCTCAAGATCTACATATACACTCTCGCCATCGCGCGAAGTAACGGAGACTGCACCCCGGACCAGCCAATATATCGCCTTGGCCTCGTCCCCTTCCGTCAAAATATAATCATTGGCTTGATTGAGTTGAGGGCGCAGATGTCGTCCCACCGCGTTCAAAAACGACTCTGGAGTAGATTGAAACAATGGGAACGAGCGCAATCGGTCGACCAAATCCAACGGAAGAGCTTGAATATGAGAGAAGGCTAGGGGAGAAGGGCGGACCGGGCGATTGGGATTCATGACCGAGTCGAATGAATGAATTAACGAGACCGTATCAGACACCGGCGCGAGGGCTTTGGTCGAGCCTCCGCCGGACCTGCCATGGCGCCGCATGATGAACTAGTTGCGTTCCTCTTAGAAGCGTCTAACAGAATGAGGGATGGAGAGATGGAAAAGGTTCGAGAGTTTCCAGAGGTAGCATATAGTGTATATTTTTTTTTCCGGCAAGCAATCCACGGACCGATGACGTCGACGAGAATTGTTTGGGAGGGGATCACGGGAGAGCTTCAGAATGGCATCTTCGGTCCACGGGGAGGGCGGGGAGGAAAAGAACGGAACCGTTTCGTCGTTGGGGGAGGTTTAAAGAGAGCCAAATGAATTATCCGAGACCCCGGAGAGTTTGAGACGACAATAGGACACAAGCCGAAAGTCCACGGAAATTCTGGAAGAAATAGCTAAAAGTGAACATAATGGTTAGAGAGACAGCAACCCACAGACCAGACAGAGAGCTTTCCGCCGAATACTAATTCATGAAAGCGGGGAATGGGATCACCGAATAGATGCTGCGGTTGAGCTCCACCGCGAACTTGAACTTTCCGCCTACCAGCAAAATAAAAAGAACTAAACCAACTCGAGCCAAGTGGTGCCCGCCTTATCAATTGGGATTCCCTCCGCTCTTTTGACGTGCTTCTTGTGTTGCACCCTCTGCTGTTCAGTGAGGATTCACCACTAGAAAAAAGAACCAGAAATTTATACCAATATTGGTAGGCCCCGTGAAAAAAAAAAAAGAAAGAAAGAAAGAAAAAAGAAAAAAAAATTAGGGAAAAGAAAAAGAAAAGAAGGGGTAAAAAGGAGAAAAAGGAGAGAAAACTAAAAGACTGGTGTGTTTCTTTTCCTTAGCATTATGTCCCCAGTCAGCGGAGATGGAGGGAGGTGTCGTGATAGGGAAAAGGAAAACCAGAATACATACATTTACGCGACAAAAGTTGAGCTGGTGTTAGTGGGGGATCTTCACCACCGAAACACTACCTTAGAGACACTGATTCGCAATTATGGAGTTCCTTGACAAATCACCAGAATATAAGAATATTTCTCTAGCTTGTGCCCCTCTCAATTGCAAGCACTGAGTGAGGTAGTTAGTCTGATGTACCCAACAAACTATAAGAGAAGAAAACTGGATGAAGGGGAAGTAGGAGAGAACTGAGAAATTTTGGGTAGGGATCTTTATTAAACTTCAGCTGGACGCAGTAGGGAACAGGGAACTAGTAACACAGAGAGGTACGTACATTTACAGTCTACAGTGTCGGTTGGGGCCAGTGAGAATAGATGCATGCTGAAGATCGTCACCCAACCCATAAAACCCCAAAATCATTGGGCCATTTCGCCTATGCTGGCTTTACGTCGATTGAACAGCAGTTTGCTTGCTTTGCTTCGTGCATTTAAGGCATGCATCGCTAAGGATTAGTGGGAGGATCCTGTACAATCCCTACCACCTACGGAGCCTATTAGGAGTTCCTCTGAAAATTAGTACATACCTTGTAGATTTTGAAGTTATACGTACAGTAAAGTAATGCATATATGCATATCTGCTCCTATACATTTCTCTACGCATTTTATTTCGATTTAATTCGATTTATTCTTACTTTTTCCTCTACCAGTATATATTCCAAAAGGAACTCCCTCGCAAACCCTTTCCTCTCCCATCAACTAAAGATACATTTTTCCTCTACGGAGTACTATGGATTAATATCCAATATGACAGCGGGACAGCGCAGGGGCCACCCATTTCACCTGACATCCCATACAATTTATCATTGATACCTAAGGCAACGAAAGACCTTTTTATCATAGGTGGTGATTGGTACACCACTTCTCCTCAATTAGTAGTAGCTTCCACGCATTAGGTAGAGTAAGCTACTAGTAGTAAGTCTGTTAGAAACAATATTGACGCCGGTATTTCAGATCCGCTTTTCCCGTTCTCATTGAATCGCTGTTACGACAATCAATGCATGAATTCAGCCTCATCGCTAGGTCACTACAGATTCGGTCCGGAGGGTTATGGCAAGATCCCATCTCAGGGAGCGGCAGCGACTACCTGTGACCCGGCGAGAGCTAGGTGCGTATAGAGAGGAATGGAGAGTGTTGCGTTGGGCCAGTGCGAGGGGGCGGCGCTTGACCCAAAAGACCTTGCCGATTCGGGACCATTGCTTACAGCAGGTTTCCGTACGGTTTTGTGGCCCGGTGGTAGACGGGGAGCACGTCAGCGTGTATCACATCCTATCGACTCTAGACCAATTAGGACATCGGCACAGAGATCACGACTCGTTGGTCAAATACGTCGAATCTTCATTCCGTCTTCGACCGGCGATTTCCCAGAAGGAAATTAACGTAAGCAGGTCGATTGCCCTTCAAAGATTCTAGAGCGTCCTGCATAAGTCCGTACACCAGACTCAGCTTCAGCCCAAGTTTTGTCGTGCGAGCAGCAGTGTAAACATCGTGACGAGCTAAACACAGGCGACGCTTAGTACTTGCTTCTAAATCAATTTATAGCATCAACAAGAAACGAACCTAACAAACTGTAGATGCCAGAGAATGATAACCCAGCTGTCACTGTAGACAGGAAGTCTCTCCGGTCATGCCGGGCATAATCCACTGTTTCTTCGAATAGACAGAATGCAAGTGCACCGAAGCCTAGTTTTAATCCCATTTTCATTCCCTCTTTGACTCCCCCAACAATTGCCGTGTAGTTCTTCGTTTTGTGGTATTGGAACCATCCGGTCGATGTCGTCGGAAAGCGATGAGCGTTCTCGGCACGGAAGCGATATGCTGACTTTTTACTTCCGTGAGACGACCCGATGATCATACCAACTGAGAAGGCCGACATGGCGGTGTAGGGTAGACGTCTTCCGACTTCAATTCCAAGTCTGGGGGGCGCATCCGATTCAAAGAGCTTATCCCAGTGGAGTATCTCCATTAATGTTGTTGAGCCTCGAGGGTGCGCGTCTGATGATTGGTGGGAGTCCATGGTGACAAATGAACTCAATAAGATTTTGTATTGTAGATGTGAATCGGAGATAGTGGGAGATAGTACAGGCTATAGAGCAGATAAGGCGTTATTCAAATTCCAATGAAGCTGGCTCTCTGCGACAACATGGGTTTGTATTGACTTTCCTGTTCTGATTTCGGTCCGACTCAGCGCCGTGTGGCTTAGGTAAGGCTAGCTTTAGTAACTTATCTGCAACCACTTTCACTGGTGAGCGGGCCACACCAACGAGTTATTTTATACTAATATTATAAGAATTAAAATAAGTTATAGTTATATAAAATAGAAAGACATGTTCTGTAAGCCTATATATAGCTTCTATAAGTATATTATTATACTATAGCTAATGATAGTTGAGGTATTGGACCTTAAAAAGTGACTGCTTAGTATGGGATACGGAGGTGGTCCGCTCGTTGGTGTGGCCCGCTCACCAGTGAAATACGTTAGTTAACTCTGTCGTACGAAGTATACAATATATATTATACCCGATATCCAGATCAGAACTCGAAAAGTATTAGGTGGTACTGCAACCGGTCAATCTAGGTGATTGTCTTTGTTCTGAGTAATCTATGTCTTGGAAGAAGGCTGCTTAGTGTAGGATTATTTTGATAGCTACTGTATGATTGCGGTTTAAACCATGGAGAGTTAGGTGGACACTTATTAAGTAATTTGCTTACATGTTGGAGTGTTTCGATTAATTTACTTGATAAGGATGCTCAAGTGGATATGGAATAGAGTATAGTCAATATAAGAAGAAAGGAGGAATACATAAAGCAAGAATAATATTTAGGTAGTTATATACCCTCAAGAACGAAGCAGAACGCGGGCTCATCTCAGAAGTAACACCATACCCTCAACCCCATCCGGAAATAGATATATGTATAGGTCGCTTTTCTCCTAGGTAATACCAACCAATAAAACCCCAATAAGTATACTGTAAACTCTTCCTTTCCCCCCAATATAGCTACTACCATATCCAACAATCTGCGGTGTCCCAAATCCCTCACAAGCCGGGGTATCTGGCAGTTCCTCGTACCTTGCAATAATTTTAGAACAATGATGTATAGCTATTTTACGGGGTACAGGCTAGTTGGATGCTAAGCCTACCAATATATTCTTGGGCTAATATAAACCATCAGTGTGTCAGTGTTCAGAAACATTCAAAGGCGGTCACGTGCTTTCAATAAAGGCAACGGCACCCGTATCGGGAAATCAAAGAGGTCTTTTCCAATGCACCTTTATCCTTTGCTTTAGAATTCGAGCCTGGGGTTACCTTATTTCTAATTTAAACAACTCAGGAGACAACTCAAAAACTGTGGGAAAAAGGAATTCCGGGGGCCTACTAAACTTATCCATCAACAACCAAATCAAAATTACATCATGGTAAGCTTGACTTAATGACTCGCTACCTGTGCGTGAAGAGCGAACACGATTTCGCTGACTTTCTATGATGATATAGTCACAGCCTGATTCTCTAAGTTGGACGCTACTGTTCAAAAAGCACAAGATGACTGTGCTCCTGATGCTCCCACCTTCCGCAACGATTCCAACCGCCCAAGCCACACTTCTTCGAGCCCTTCATTCACGCGGTCTAACAGAAATCAATGGCGACCCGGTACCGGAAGACTCATCAGATATTGAACTTGGTATTGCAGTAGACAAAAATGATCTAGGAAAGGGTTGGACTAAGCTTGAGTTTCAAACGCCGCAGTTCGATGAAGATGAAGCACCAAAACGAGGGGCGGGGAGGAGATCTGCAGCCCCTCTGAGCTTACAAGCAGCTGAAATTAGAAATGGACAGCCAGTTGCTTTCAGGTTTCGGAAGCGCGGAGAGGAAACTGAAACGACTGATGAACTGATTGACCTCGAACTAGAGGACCCTGGTTGGGATGTTGTTCTTCCTAGTTTGGATGATGAAGAGGAGGAAAGTTAAATTAGACCATATACTTTCTATCTTGATGGGTATTTTATTTTTATTGTATTTTTTTTTATTCCATGGGTCTGGCGCAGGGCTGGGACGTGGTGCTATTAGACGGCGTTCATGATCTTTCACTGGGTGGCTGAGAATATACATTGACTTGACACGGACCCTTAGAATCATCTGTATACAATCCTGTAGCCCTCGCTTGTAGCGGTCTGCATATTCTCCCTAGTGCGTAGTCCTTGGTATATCATGCCGTCGGTTTTGTCTGTCTATTTCCTAATAAATGTGGAAATATACTCTTTCGGAGCCATGTTGGTGTGTTATACGTAACATACTCCGGAGAACGGTTGGATCGCCATTTAGTGGATCCTTGGGTGTCAATATGGGGTCAGCTTTTTAATCACCTAGAAAACGATCAACATCTACTCTGTAGGTATAGAGGGGGACCCTCGGAGGAAACAAAGATGGCAAATGACTAGCAAAAAGCACTAAAAATAGATCAAACAGAAAAATCATCTGTGTAACAAGCGCCATCTGATAAGAAAAGGAATCTGGGGTTCTTCAATAGACTGCTACCTACGGAGTATTCTCAATCAAACGTAGTTGGACTATGAAATTGATTAGAATCGAGCGGCATGGATTGCAAGGGATAGCTCCAAGTAAGAACGGACCAATCAGGATTAACATAGTGCGTTGTGTTAGAAAGCTTGGTATGTGGTGTTAGTGGGTGACCGCAGGCAAGTGCCAGAACTTTCCATGGTTTTAGGTTAAGCCAAGGAACACAGACATGCTATGAGCACGCACTAGCAGTCGTCCGGGGCAACGGCGAGTTGACACAACAAGCCCCCGTGTCAACAGTCCCGCAAGTGGCTTGAAGCTCACACTAGCACCTCAGCGTAACTCAACAGGGGAAATTCTGGGGCTGTCGGGAAATAGGTCCACAGTCAACATTCTTCGTCGATGAGCTCGTTCTTCAATTTCTTATCTCTTCGTCGCCTCATCGTTGTCTCGACACGTCGTCGGTGTAGGGCGTCGCTGGATATTTCGACAACTGCCCTCCCCGCGCCGATAATCTCGACCTGAGACTCGCTTTCCGCTTGGAGGGAGGTAACACCACTTTCATATTCGATAAACAACAATATGGCGATTCCAAGTGACGCTTCGTCTATCACCGTTGCAGTTAGAGTGAGGCCTTTCACGATCAGGGAGGCGGCACAGATCTCTAAATGTGAAGATGGCCCTCTCTTTCTTGGAGATGGCTCTTTGGCTGGAGCGCCAACACCAAAGCTCAACCAGAAGGGTATTCGATCGATTATCAAGGTTATCGATGATAGGTGCTTGTGAGTGCAGTGCAAATATGTCTCCGTTCCTTACAATAATTGACCAAATTTCCTTAGAGTCTTCGACCCTCCGGAAGACAGTCCGGTACAGAAGTTCTCGAAAAGTGTTGTCCCCAACGGCAAACGCGTTAAAGACCAGACATTTGCCTTCGACCGTATCTTTGACCAGAATGCCTCCCAAGGAGAGGTGTATGAAGCGACAACACGCACGCTTCTTGACAGTGTTCTTGATGGATACAACGCCACAGTCTTCGCATATGGTGCGACCGGATGTGGAAAGACCCATACAATTACTGGAACGGCTCAGCAGCCTGGTATAATCTTCATGACTATGCAAGAGTTGTTTGAACGTATCGACGAAAGATCGGGAGAGAAAGCTACAGAAATTTCTCTCTCGTACCTGGAAATCTACAACGAAACAATCCGTGACCTCCTTGTACCTGGTGGTAGCAAAGGAGGCTTAATGCTGCGGGAAGACTCGAACAAATCGGTTTCAGTATCTGGGCTGTCAAGCCACCACCCCCAAAGTGTGCAGCAGGTGATGGATATGATCATGAAGGGTAACGAGTGTCGCACGATGTCCCCGACAGAGGCCAACGCCACCTCTTCACGGTCACATGCAGTTCTCCAAATCAATGTTGCCCAAAAGGATCGCAACGCTGATGTCAATGAACCACACACAATGGCAACACTGAGCATAATTGATCTTGCCGGTAGTGAGCGTGCAAGTGCCACGAAGAACAGAGGCGAGAGGCTGTTCGAAGGTGCGAATATTAACAAATCGCTCCTCGCGTTGGGTAGCTGCATCAATGCCCTCTGTGACCCTCGGAAACGAAACCATGTTCCATACAGAAACTCGAAGCTCACTCGGCTCTTAAAGTTCTCATTGGGTGGCAACTGCAAAACAGTGATGATTGTCTGTGTTAGTCCCTCCAGCCAGCATTTCGACGAGACCCAAAACACACTGCGTTATGCCAACAGAGCGAAGAATATCCAAACCAAAGTTACGAGGAATGTGTTCAACGTCAATCGTCACGTTAAAGACTTCCTGGTGAAGATCGATGAACAAATGAATCTGATTAACGAACTTAAAGCTCAACAGAAAGACTACGAGAGAATCGCTTTTGCGAAGTTTAAGAAGCAGACGGAAAAGAAAGACGCAGTGGTCCGCGAAGGAATCTCTCGTATCCGGAATGCTTATGAACACTCATTGCCCGAGAGGCAGGAAAGGACTGCCAACATGATTAAATCAAGACAGGTTAGCCGCAGGATCGGTATGCTGTCTTCGTGGATTGCTGCTTTTGACAGTGTATGTGCAAATTCCGAGAATGAGGAGCCCTTAGCGAATCTCCAGGCCATTCGCAGAACGGCACAAGGTGTTCTCCTTGAGTTGGAGAGTAGTAGGCAGCACTACCACCAACGGCTGGCTAGGAGCACTTGGGACAGAGGCATTAACTCGGCCGTTGAGCACGCCGTTCGTCAACTCCAAGACTTTGGAATCAACGATAACAGTGACCTTGCCAACCTTCATCGCGAAGCAGAGCTCCTGAAATCAAACGCAGAGCGTGATGCTTTTTCGGCGGTAGCAGAACAAGAGAAGGCAGGGGAAGCGGAAACCGTACAGCTGCTGCTTCAGGCTCAATTTGAGGCCATATCTGCAATTGAGGATATTATGAAAATGAGCGAAGACGAAGCTGTTGAGGCGGGCAAGAGTATTCTTTCCAAGATGCTCGACTCGTGCTCTACTGTAACATCAAGTCTTGTAAAACCAGATGGCAGCTTGCCGCCAGCTCAGACATTCAGCCCTTCCAAGGCCATGTCGCCTAAGCCGAAGAAGAGAGTGAGTCTTGCAGCACTCCCTGCTGGCAAGACTCTCGCTGCACCTATAAGCTTGGCACCGACAGCACCTGCCTCGCCCGGCAAGGGTTCGCCCCGACGCCGTAGGTTGGGTGCTGGCCGGAAGAGTGTCACATTCTCACCCAAGAAGTCTCAGGCCAAGTCAACGAAACGAAGCGTACGTTGGAAGGATGACGAGCAAGACGGTTCTTTGGCCGAGTTTCAGAAGACGCCGCAAAAGCCGCGGGCACAACTTTTCCCCGAAGGCCCCCAAGGCAGTCCCTATGAGCCTCCATTGCCTAGAACGTCACCCGTCCCGCGTGGCATTCCAGTGCCCAGTCGGAATATCAGTCCTTCGTATGGTTCTTCACCAGTCTCTGCCCCGCCGGAGCCAACATTGCATGTCCCAAAGAACAACCGATTCAAAGCCGGCTTCCTCTCCAAGAAAACTAGCGGCTCACCAATTGCGCCTCCTCCTTCGACCTCGCTCCCTGCCTCAGACGGTGAACATTCTCCCCTCCGCAACATCGAGAACAGCAGCTTTCTGAACCGCGCATCGGTTGACCGTCCCTCTAGGATCGCGGTTCGTACTTCGAGTGGAAGCTACACCAATAGTCCCGCTTCGGACAATAAAGAAAGCTGGAAGGCAAACAAAGACGACGCCATCCGGATCAGTTCGGCAATGAGGCGCATTTCCGGTGGACATTTCGGCGCTGGTGCTTCTGCCAATTTTCTTCGGGTTCATCGTCGCCGGAGTCCGGGGTCTGCAACCTATGGCAGCTCTCCACCTGAAAACACTATGTTCACTGCGCAGGCAAGAAGAATGGCCAAGGGTGAGAAGGAGCACGAGGCTAAACCGGGCGTTCTGGGACCCCGAACTCTTCCCATTATGAAGAATACCGGACGACGAACCACTTTTGGAGGGGAAATTCGGCCCCGAGACATTAGTCTCACCAGCAGGGACGCTATTCGACTCAGCGCTATGGCAACCCCCAATCTCCAAAGGCCCTCCGAGAGCCTCTATTCCAACTCTGGAGCAGGATTGAGGTGAATTTAATTGCTGATTCAGGGCTTTTCGCATTGCATTCGGGGTGGTGTTTTACCAATACTTGGGAACGGTGTTTGGGAGAATAGATACCATTTGCTTTTTTCTTAACTTATATTTTCGACGCCAACCATGAGGTCCGGTATCCGGGTTATACCGTTCACCTCGTTCTGTTGTGCTGAGAACTTCACCAAATGATTTGGAAACATGCTGGAGTTTTAATTTCTATTCGATGTTCAACTTTTTTCTTTCTTTTTTTCTGTCTCTTCTATGTGTATGGCATATAATGTTTCCGGAACGTGTACAATATCGGATGCGTCGTTTGAAAGGTGTTTCATACAATACGAAGCCAAGGCTGTTGTCTCTACTTTAATCTATTTTCGGTCTCGAGTTCGGCACTGAGAGATTCTAAATTAAAATTAATTAACTAGCCAGGCATTATGTCATTGCGCGAAATGACGCCACTGCAGAAACTCCTCCGCAATCTGACAAATAAAGGAATGCATGCCATAGAAAGAAGTCCGATTTCCCTCCCTCAACATATTTCCTTCTAGTTCCAATGACTAACTAATTATCTAGACTGGTGCTGCTAGAAACTACCTGGGAACTCACACAACTAATATTGAACCTGACAGGTTCAATTTAAACTTGACAGTTGGTTGAATTGTCTCAATAAATTTGCCGGTAACCCTCAGCGGAAACCCTCGAGACAGATTGATTTGCGAAGCAAATTAACTGCTCCAGTATCACGTAAAAAATCAGTTGAATGGCTTTCGCCGCACCCGCGATTGGCTCGACCTTATTTTCAAGAATTTTCCGTCCGTTCTCCACCAGCGCTCCATTTCTCTCTTTAACACCTGAATCTGCATCACACAACATGTCCAACAACACGCAAATCGCCACGCTGGCAGCTGGATGTTTCTGGGGCGTCGAGCACCTGTTCCGCAAGAACTTTGGTAATGGGAAAGGTCTCCTAGATGCGAAGGTTGGTTATTGCGGTGGATCGATGGCGTCGCCCTCGTATCGGGCTGTGTGCACCGGAGATACCGGCCGTAAGTATTAATGTCTATACTTCGTTACAACCTATGAAGCTAATCGAGGATGATTTTTTCTTTACTATATGCTAGATGCCGAAGCGGTGCAGGTGACGTTTGACCCCTCCATCGTTACCTACCGTTCTCTTCTGGAATTCTTCTACCGCATGCACGACCCCACCACTTTGAACCGCCAGGGACCCGATGTCGGCACTCAGTACCGTAGCGTCATCTTCACTCACGGAGACGAGCAAGAGCAGATCGCCAAGGATGTATCAGAGAAGGTGAGCCAGGAGTGGTACAAACAGCCTCTCTCCACGGTCATTGTGCCTGCCGGTCAATGGTGGGATGCGGAGGAGTACCACCAGCTCTATCTGAACAAGAACCCAACGGGCTATGAATGTCCTGCTCAGTATGTTATGAACCGATCTCTGAGATAGGATTTTTTTTTTTTTTTTCTTGTTAGGGGAAGTCAAGAGCTAATGTTTCGCGCAGCTTCGTGAGACAGTTTCCGCCTCTTTCCGCCTGACTGGCGACGAAGATATGAGATATGAACTTCCAAAATATGTCAGCCTTGATGGTCTTGAGATGGTCCGGCTGAACTAGTGCCATCGCTGGGATGTTTTACAAGATAACTGCTTTGCAAAAAGGCGCAGTTTGCACAGGACAAGCTCGTTTGTTTCTGGCATGTATATTGATGGGACCCGAGATGTGTATTATACATCTCTCAAATATCATTCAGATATCTCACAAGGGTGTTTCCATGTTGATTTCATGGTATCCTAATTCTTCACAGAGTTATGTAAGAAAAAGAGGGGGAAGGTTGTCTCCTAGTATCATATGGCAGTGTGCTGAATATTAAACACAAGTGCTACCCTACAGTAAAGAAAGACAACCGTACATAGAAGAAGAGATATTATCAAGTCAATAATTTATTCTAAGGATATAACACATCATTCTGACCACCATTGAGGCGGGTGAGAAATATGTGAAGTCCGTTATATAGTAGGCAATGGCTTTCCTGTGGTTGTCTTCTTTGTTTACTACGATATCAATTCACTCATTCAAGTATGGACTCAGGTGACAACTCCCCTCCTCTGTCCCAATGCAGACACACTGCTTTCTCTCTTTTCTTTCCGCCATCACTCCCTACTTCTTCCTCTCCCATCCTTTCTCAAGGTATCGCCTCTCTTCCTTCCCCTATCAATCATCGCCCACTCCCTGTTTCTTCGATCGTTAGTACTGTCCAGAGTTCTCTACGGAAGTGTGGTCTGTCAAAAGCATTTGCTCGGTGTTCTAGCAGTCTAATAGTCTAGCGACAACAGAGCTGAGAATTTTGAGCAGAAAGGCTGTTTGACGCACTTTCTGTAGCGGACTGACTGACGGTATCCCACATCCTTCCAATACACCACCTACCCGCGGCAACTGCCTTCTTGGGATCTCTCATCGCCATCAGTGCCTTTGTTTCTATACCCACCAATTTGCCACACTATCTCCCGCAAGTATTTCCTCGACGTGTGTTCAACCTGAAGGCCAGTCGACAGAGCCCTAGGGAGGCTTTGAACGGTATGAGACTCCATCGACCTCGTCGTACCCGCGCGTATCCATCACTAATTCTGACCGCGCTGGTAAGGAGCCCTCAGATACTCTTCCACGAACACGAGTGCCCTCCAGGGCACTATCTTATCTATTGAGAAGGTTAGTAGCAGCGGCTCCGTTATATCAGGTTGGGTCCCGTCATGATGGCAAGCTACTCTGTTGAAGCAGCCATGGCTGAGGCCCTGGGTCACCTTAACCGCATCGCATGTCATGTAAGCGTCTCTCGCACCACAGATGAAATTATGGAAGCCACTGCTGAGTGAACAAGTTCCGCAAGCACGAGCAGCACAATGCTGCAAATGAGATTGGCAAACTGAGCATTATGATTGTCAATGTCTTCTCCGAGGCTGTTGAGCATATTCCCACTAGCGAATTCGCTGATGTGGTAAGCTGCTCTACCAACATCCTGACACAGGATTAGTCTCAGTAACAGAAGCAGGCTACAAACTGCCAGAACACCGTGAGTAATCACAATATGATTCAGCAACAAGCTGTCGTGGCTCTCATGAACGAGGTCGAGAAGGAAAAAGACAGCATCACCTGTCAAACCAGCGCCTTGCAGAATACCCCGTCTGACGCCCAGCTCCCAACGACTGGAAGCTGGGCTCAGGTCGCTGGTTCTACCTCAAGCCTTCCAGCCCAACCTCAAGGGGTGGGTCATTTCATGGCTCCGTTGTCCATGGGGCCGGCCGCTTTGTCCAAGCAGAGCTCGAACAATGACGAGAATGGCGATACTCGAATGCCAGGAATCTCGGACGTCGCACTTTCTGCATCCATGTTTCCAGAAATCCCAGAGGCCAAGGCAGGAGTCCTTCGTATTTATGGCAAAACCTCCAAAGAGATCATTCAGTATCTTACTACCCGTATCCATGAGGGTCCATTACAGGACATCCGACTTGAAACCAACGGAAGGACGCGAGTGACCTTCCAGCATGCGTCTCAGGCGCTTGCTTTCCTGAAGTCTAACCAGGAGATGGAGCAAATGCTTGGCTACGGGCGTTTTGGGTGCGGCTACCGCGTTGAATTGGTTGAGATTATTGATTGGAACGACGACCACCGTCGGATGAACCAGCCCATCCGAGAGCGTCGTCGTCTGTCATTCGCAAGGAAGCGGCTCTTCGCCGACAATATGTCGCCAGAAAAATGGAAGCAGGACATCCGTACTTTGGCTGGACCAGGGAATATTGATTTCCTCTGGGTCTTTAATTCTGGTAATGGTGAGTTAGTAGCACAAAAACTATGGGTCTCCTATAGACCAAATCCCAGCTAATCGGGCGGTAGCAACGGCTGTCTTCACGAGCACAACCGTTGCTCGCAAGGTTTTGGAGGTGTTCAACCGATGGAAGGACGGCCGAAACGTCTACAGTGGGGTTTCCGTCACCTACTCGTCGGACCCATGCGAGAAAGAGTTAGTTTTGGTCAAAGACACCGTTCGCCCCAACATTGCCAAGAATTTTGTGAAAAGACCCATTCGATAGATGCCGGGCTGCCGTTGAACGGATGGGCAGTGCTTCGAGCCACTGTTTCATCTCAACTGCTTTAAAATGACATCACATCAAGTTAGGCGCGCGGAGAAATCTGAAGAGCGGAAGATTTTCAAATATCGTGGAGTGTAACGTAACGACAGTATGACGTTATGATACAAGAGAAGTGGTCTGACACCTGTGATCCTCTTTTCTTGATTTTCGGAAATAAAAAAAAAAAAAAAAAAAAGAAGAAGAAAAGAATGGGGGGGAAATATGAAGGTAAGGGAAAGCAAAGGGATAATCAACAAGGGTGAACTGTTTGCGGGGTGTTGGAACTTTGTGGAATGTTGTCCAGGCGATTCGAGCAACGTGGTACAGGTGCCACACGATCTGAGCCGTAGCAAATGGAGTGGAAGCACGAGTGGGATTGTACGCATGTCCGGAAATGTCAGGTTGTGTTTAGATGTGGCCTCCTGTGGATGAGTTCTGTTTTAGCCACTTGTGGTCCGACTGGCCTTGCACGTATGCAAAAGGTTGGTCTCAACATGACTCATCATAGGGATGATTCGAACGATCTGCCTTGAGCAACGTCAGCTGTAGTTAGTTGATAGTCCAGAACATACGTGGGAGGGGTTGCCAGTGAGATATCAATAATGGCTTTCGGAGGCCTCTGGCAGGCACTCGAGTAATGATAACTCATAGAAACCAAATACCACCCCAGTCTGCATTACTGATGTGATATGAACCTTCGCCGTCCTTTGAATTTAGTCCCAGTGCGTCATCATCTGAAAGACCCATCTATTCAAACAAGTGACAGGGCATCGTATGTACACGGGACAAATGTCCCTTGCAGCAGCGAGCATTATTGCTGATATAGACCGAAAACGGCATTGATGCCAGGGGAACGCGATTAGATAAGTCACAAATTTCCTTTATTTGTTTATTTATTATTAGGAAATTGCCGTAAACAGAAAAATAGTAGAAGAGCCGTCAAGTGCACGAATACTTCAGAAATGAAGCACGGAATTAAGGGATAGAGAGAGAGAGAGAGAGATAAGCGCGCGTACACACACACATACATGTGTACATACATACACACACATGCCCATGATGTCAGAGCAGATCAAGCCCGGGAAAGTTTTGTCTTGTTTATCGCTGTTAACATTGCTGGATGATAGAATTAGAAATCTTGAGCCCTGGCTAACCCGTCCATGCATGTATCTACTATCGTATGTATGGATGGATGGATGTACTATGCTAATGTAGGTACATACATACATGCGGCAGTTAGTCTATGCATCAGAAGCTACCCCTGTTGGCCAGGTGAGAAAAGGAGAATGTCACTGGTCGCTGGGAGCAGCTATCAAATCCAATAAAGTTCAGTAGAGCAGGCTATCATTACTGCAATCAATGGGCTAAGGGTGCCAAGTTAACTTCCTGACTATTTCCCCATTATTAGCGGACTACTAGCTCTGATTGGTATTGAGTAAGAAAAATCTCAGTTCTGTCTTTTCTTTCCTTTCCTTTCCTTTTTTTTTTTTTTTTTTATTTTTTTATTTTCACTCGCTCTCTGACACCCTCTCTTTCCTATTATTTCAATTTTATGCTTTATTTATATATATATATATATTTAAACCCCCCATGGCGCATTCGGTTTGCATAAAAACCTGACGAACTTAGTTTCGTTATCTTTCGGTCCGAATGAACGACATGTTTTAAACATAATCTATTTGTGTAGCTGTCAGCTGAAACCAGCGGAGTTTAGTTGACAATGGCTTCCTTTTCAGAAAAGGTTTGCCTCTGAACGACGTCACACATTCCAACGGTTGTCAGTGGCTATGTGAACATGTCCGGAGAAATTTCCTAAAAGAATCCTAATTATAGAACCAAGTGGACTTTTTTCTTTTCTTTTTTCTTTTCGTTTCCCTCATCTATTCTCTCGCTATGGGAGACAGACATTTTCTCTTATCTAACACAGCTGAATGACCAAGAACACCAAGAGTCCCCGAAGATTGGAGTCCCGGTCATAAATAGTCGGGAGAACCGTTAGGCTTCCTTGATTGGGAGAGTGTTCCACTGGTAGCTGGAGTAAGTGGTGCTCTCGGGATCATCAGTTCCCCCCCCCCTATCTATCGAAAACCTCGGTGCACGGTTAGACGGTGGAGAGGTCAAACAAGAAAAATTGCCGCAGATTAAATTTAATTATTGAGATAGATTAATGTGGTTACGGTATATCTTGACACAACGGAGTACGTATCTTTGGAACGGAGAATGAAATCGCCGTGCCTCTCCAGAGGGAGGGGATTATAGTAATCAGGTGATATCGATGCCCTGATTCGAATTGAGTTGCCTTAAGACAAAGATCCACGCGCCCTGCGTAGGGGAAACTGTCATTGGCCCTGAAGGGGTTCCAGGGAACCAACGACGGTGATTGGAGTAAGACATGTTTAATTTGTGAGCAGAAGAATCATTATGGAAGCCAGGTGCATGTTAGTGTCCACAAACTACTACGAGTAGTGTGGCTGTCTTGTCCGGACCTGCCAATCGGCAGCTTTTTCCCGATAAGAAGGAAACCCCCATTGAGTTTTTCCCATGGCGGTGGGTCCGTTCCTGAGAAGGGTTCAAGTGCGAGGTTCAAATTCAGGGCTTTCTTTTCTTTTCTTTTCTTTTTTTTTTTTT